ACACACACACACACACACACACACACACACACGCACACACACACAACTTTTGAATTGGAGCCTAAGTCTTTGCCCTTGTTTAGCTCTCCATTCTGTCTAAGCACTATGCTCTGAGAGAACTCTTTCCAGTCCAGCTGCTGGGAACTCCAAATATCAGGAAACCTTCAGGTTCCCAGAAAGACAATACCTTGATGATCAACCCATCAGCATCCATCATCCAGATCTTCTTTACAGCCTCTGACTTAGACACACCTTCCTTCTGTAGTGCCATGATAAGGAGATGGGTGATGCCCATGGCGGCCTGGGAGGGACCACAAAAAGAGTGTTTAGTCACAGGACAAAAGGTGCTTGGTATATATCAGCTTCTCCTCTTGTCTCTGCTAGCCCCACAACTCCCAGGAGAGCCAATTAAGTCCTTATATTGAGAAACCCAAATATTGAGGCTCAGGCAACTGAGACCATCACAATGCTTGTATTACTTCCTCTTAGCAGAAGCCTAGAACATTACCCCCATTGTATCCTACGGAACACCAGTAGAGATTCCCAGATGGTGCTTACCCCGCCTGCACCTAGGAAAACGAATACTTGATCAGAAAGCTTTTTCTTGGTGATTCGAAGAGCAGCCAGGATTCCAGCCACAGCAACAGAGGCTGTACCTGCAAGAGTGGACTGTGATCAGCCTCCGGCCATGGGCCCTCATCCCCCACCAGAAGACCTTTGGAAGAATTCCCAACCCCTATGACCTGTGTGGGAGGAAACAACTTTCTTTAGCTCTTAAAGAAGTCAAACCTGAAATCAGGCAGGTTTTGTTTTGTTTTTTGCCAGTCCTGGGGCTTGAACTCAGGGCCTGGGCACTGTCCCCAAGCTTCTTTTGCTCAAAGCTAGCATTCTACCACTTCAGCCACAGAACTACTTCTGTCCTTTTCTGTTTAAATGGTACTGAGGAATCGAACCCAGGGCTTCATGCATGCTAGGCAAGCACTCTATGACTAAGTCATATTCCCAGCCCAAATCAGGCAGATTTTTAGAGCCATAATTTATGCCTTCTTTTTGTAGATTCCTACTCTCCTTTTGGAAGAACAGACCTGATTTTTACTTATTGCTCTCAGAGGGGAGCAGCCAATTAGGTGCTGCTTCTGCCATCATTCATACATAAAGCAATGGGATAAATACATGTACATGGAGACCACAAAGAAGCCACAAAGAATGATTCATTAAAAAGATAATTAGATATATTTAAAATGGAGAACACACAGAGAGAGGCCTACTAAAGATTCAGGGCCTTCAAAAATGAAGGCTTGGGTCACTCTGTTGGGTAAAAATCCTGGCCAGTTGGGATCCTGTCCAAGGACAAGAAAACTTGGAATCAGAGACTGAGGAAGAAATTTATAAATGTCAGCCTTGGCCTCAGGACTGGTTAAAGGGTCAAGGAATGTGGCAGCCAGTCTATCCCTTCCTTGACTGTTTTGTGACTATATAATGGAATGCATTAGCTGATTTATTCTCCCTTCTCTTATTTTTACATCTCCCTTCCTTTATTACTCATCTTAGTTGTGTTGGAGGTAATTCTTTAGTCTTTGAGCAGTAGAATTTTCAAGTGTAACTGTGATTATTTATGACTTTTTATGACTTTATGACCATTTGCACAAATTAAAAAGATGATGTTTTCTAGAGTGAGTAAGGGAGCAATGAAAAATAAATGTCTCAGTATGCTTTTCATTTTAAAAAGCCATAGTTATGTCCTAAGTCATTCACAACAGTGCTGTCATGACAAGTTTAATAAAGGGCTAGTGGGCGAGTAACTTACGTTGTAGACATTCAAGATGAATGGGAAGGATGAAAGTGGTGACACTGATTAAGGTACATTGTACTTGCAAATTGACTTTGTACAACTACTTAAAGACAGTAAAAATTAATTTAAGAATCAAACTAAAATGATCATAACGAAGATTTTGTAACACCATGGTTCAGAGGGCTTTCTAAAAGCCTTATATGTTTTAATATGAGGGTATTTATTATTTAATCCTCACAGTTATCCTCATTTTACAGAGTAAAGAAATGAGGTACAGAGCAGATCATGCAATATAAAGAAGATTTGAATGCAGAGAACCAGGTACTTAGGTCTATGAACTTTGCTACATTGAGCTGTAAAGAACAGAACCATACAAAGTCTGTAGAAGAAAGTACAAGATGCTAATCATTGCTGGGCAAGTATGTAAGTGAATTTTAAAACTGTCTTTTCATCTTCACCCTTCCCTGTATCAATAGTATTATTCATGTTTCCTTGAATATGCCACCTATTTTGATTGTGTTTTTCTTATTCTTTACAAGACCAATTTATTCCTTAAGACTCAGCCAAATGCCTTCTGCTTCCATGAGGCATAATCAGTTTCTTCTTATCCCATATCTACTTTAAAAATCACATCTGAATACAACTAGACTACAACATAGCTGGGCACCAGTGTCTCATGCCTGTAATCTTAGCTACTCAGGAGGCTGAGATCTGAGGATCTCAGTTCCAGGCCAATTAGGAAGAAAAATCTGAGAGACTCTTATCTCCAATTAACCACTAAAAAGAAAACAAAAACCAGAAGCAAAGCTTTGGATCAAGTGGTAGAGCAATAGCCTTGAGAAAAAATACTCAGGGTAAGCACTCAGGCCCTGAGTTCAAGCCCCAGTACTGACACAAATAACACCAACAATAAACCAAACCAAATCAACAAAAATACTAGATTACACCATTGCCTGCATCAGCACTTTACTACACTCAAAACAAACTCTGAACTGACATCTTCAGAAACCACTTAAATCACTTAAAGCCACCTGGTGCTGGTGGCTCACACCTGTAATCCTAGCTACTTGGGAGGCTGAGATGTGAAATTCAAGGTTTAAAATGAGTTCTATCAGAACAAATCTGAGAGACTTATTTCTAATTAACCAGCAAAAAGCCTGAAGTAGAGGAGTGGCTGAAAAGAGGCCCTGGGAAATCCTCTCTCCATGTCCCAAGTCTTTGTGCATTATTTTCCCACTGGTATGGTGCTCTTCTCCATTTCCATCTCCTGAAGAACTACTTTATCTCCATTAAAAGCTGCTTTCATTTTGGTTCAATTGAGTCAGAGTCTGTATTTCTCTGTTTGATTTTTTTGCCCAGCATGATGTCAGCGAGTTAGCAGTTCCCCGTCATTTGGATACAGATTTCTGCTCAATAAGATCCCTGAACTCAGGGCCTGGGCACTGTCCCTGAGCCTCTTTGCTCAAGATTAGCGCCCTACCACTTGAGGCACAGAACTACTTCCGGTTTTTTCTGTGGAACCGAGGAATGGAACCCAGGGCTTCATGCATGCTAGGCAAACACTCTACTGCTAAACCACACCCTAAGATTACATTTCATGGTAGCCTTTTGCATCCTCAAAGGAGGCACTTTTTCAAAGCATTCACCACCAGATGGCGCTAAAGATATTCTGTCAGAGACATTCCCCAAACAACATTCCTTGCATTATTTATCCTTTTTGGGTGTCAAGTATCTTTGGAAGTTAGAACCTGAGGGAGGGCCAAATAACTCGGACTTTTCTGCAGAATCTCAGTGCTAGAAGAGGGCTGGAGATCATGATAGATGAGGATACTGAGCTAGAGAGAGAGTTTGGCCTGGCCTGGGCAGTCACCCAGTGGAAAGCAAAGCAGAGGGATCTGGGGTGGAACTTCCATCCATTCAGCATCTGCAGTCCACACAGCCTTTCCTGATTGGAGGTGGAGGACACAAGAGTAATGGTGGTTTCTCTGGGGTGGGAGGGAGAGATGTGAGGGGAGAGAGGTAAAGAAGAGGGGGAGAAAAGAGAATGTAGGCAGCTCAGCTGTGGAAGGGGTGGGGTGGCAGACACAAAACACTGGGAAATCTGACAGGAAGGAGTGACACATTTCAGTGAAACAACACAAGAGCAGCTACCATTGATTGCTCTTACTGTGATTGTGACTTTGTACTCTGTACCAGCTGCTTAATCTCCACCATCACCTCTGTGTTGTAAGCACTATGTGTTCCCACACTGTAATTCTCTCTCTCTCTCTCTGAAGAAGGTTCTGAGGCTCAAAGGCAACAGCAGCAATCAGCAGCAAACCTGGGAATGTTCTCACTACCAAGGGTACAAACTCTCTGCCTCAGGTTCACATGCTTTGTCATTTCTGCTGAACCATGGATGGACTTTCTCCTCCTAGTTAAAGCCATGGAGCCCATCCATCATTTTCGTCTTCTCAGGGAATTGGTCCTGTAATTTTCTTCTCTGTTTCATGAATTGTCAATGTCTTCCTCTCTACTAGATTTTTTTCCCTTCAACATACAAACATGTTTTAAAGCATCTAGCTTTAAAACGCTCTCTTAGCTGGATGCCAGCGGCTCATGCCTGTAATCCTGGCTACTCAGGAGGCTAAGATCTGAGTTTGAAGCCAGCCCAGGCAGAAAAGTCCACAAGGCCTTTTTCTTTAATTAACTAGCAAAAAATTGGAAGTAGAGGTGTGGCTCAAGTGGTAGAGTACCAGTCTTGAGCCAAAAAGACAAGAGTACAAGGCACCGAGTTCAAGCCCTAGCAGTGGCACAAACAAAATCCCCCACATTTACCCCCACCTCATTCCCTGCATTGACCTTCTGTTGGTCTCGTCTTATTTCTTTTTTTTTTTTTTTTTGTCGGTCGTGGGACTTGAACTCTGGGCCTGGGCGCTGTCCCTCAGCTCTTCAGCTCAAGGCGAGCGCTCTACCACTTGAGCTACAG